TATTTCCTTTTAATCTTAAAGATCATTTTCTGTACAACAAAAGTTTCAGGCACTTTATTGGCTTCACTTTCTACTCAGTTTTATTTGTAAACTCCCGACACGCGATCTTTAGTTTTATCTTTACGTTGTGAGGTTGAGATACCAAAGTTTTATTTATGTTTGTCTTCATGTTGTGTTTTTGGTTTGAATGTGTTTTAAGTTAGTTTGTTGTGAAGTGTTTTTAAATGTTTAGTTCTCATTGGTGGTGGATGTGTTCAGTGAGCTGTCAGTGCGCCCCCTGCCGGTGGTGTGTGAGATAATCTGTTTCTATCTTCGGCTGCAGGACTATGTTTAGCTCTGTCCACGTGACCAGCTGATCTTTGTTGTGCGTAACGTCGTCACCCCCCCCCCCCCCCCCCCCCCCCCCCGTCCGTGGAGGATTTATTTATTTCCTCCTCTTCCTCCTCCTCCTCTTCCTCCTCCTCCTCTTGCTCCTCCTCCATTATCAACGTGAAGTCCGAGGAGCTGCAGCGGGACTCGCAGGAGGCCTGACCGGGGAGGAGACAGGATGAGAGCCGCCGGGACGGAGAGGAGACCGGAGCCGCCGCCGCTGAATCCCGGAGGAGACGACATGACAGCGGAGTGAAGAGAGGACGGTGAGGAGGGGGGACGGAGGCGTGATGGAGGAGGGGTGGAGGATAAACAAGCGGGTGTGTGGATGGTGTGATGGCGGGTGAAGGTGCAGACACAGCGGCTCTCTGACCGGTGCAGTGTCCGGTCCACACACCTGGAGGAGGAGGAGGACAGAATACTGTGAACAGGCTGCATTGTCCTTCATCATCTTCTTCTTCATCATCTTCTTCGTCATCTTCATCTCCTCCATCATCTCTCTCTTCCAGCGGCTACACTCAGGATGTCTGGCCCGGCCGGACCGGCACCGCCCGCCGGATCGGGACCGGGGCTCGGGCCGGAGCCGGGACCGGACCTGAGCCACCTGACGGAGGAGGAGCGGAGCATCATCCTGTCGGTGGTGGAGAGACAGAAGAAGGAGGAGGAGAAGGAGCAGAGCATGCTCAAGTAAGGAGGGAGGTACCAATCACCAATAATCCATAATCACCGACTGATCATGGAGGTGACGTCAGTCCAACAATAATCAACAAGCACTCCTGATCAGAATACTACTACAACGATACAGTACATGTACACAGTGATCCGCTTCCTGTCACAGCACCACAGTACAAGTACTTCACTCTGTGACTCGCTGGCACCAGATTTGAAGTTAATTAATTCAGAAGAGTCAGTCTCTCTAATGCTAAGCTAACATTAGCATTGGTTTCCTGTGCAGTCACAGTCTTTGTCTCCATGGAAACACAACTCCAGATGTTTTCCATCGGAGTTTCCAGATGTTAGACCGCAGGTGTTTCTGTGAGGGAGGTCGCCTGATGTCATCTGTGCATTGTGGGTAACTGAGGGGTTTCTGGTTCAGGGGCCTATTACCCATCAGCCCCTGGGAGCTTCACAGCGAAAACACCTGTTGTGACATCACTGGTTGGGGGCGGGTCAGGTGTCATGACGGACCGTTTAGACCTGGTGACGTCTGCATGTGTCATTTTATTTTGAAGTCTTGTCCCTTTGTCTCATTCATGTAGCTTGATTTTATTTTTTACACGTACACAGATGTTTGTGTTCTGTAGTTTTTTATTTAAAGCTCAGTTTTTCTGATGTCATTTTTATTTTCATTTCATCGTCGTCATCGTCATGTGTCTGCAGGGATCAGGAGGGAATCAAACCTCCGTTGGCCTCGTAAGTATCTCAGTCTGAACAATGTCTCCGTTAGCGCACCTGTCCCGGTCTCACCTCCCTCCTAAACCGCACTGAACCACTTCCTGGTTCCCAAACTGGCCAAAATCCAAATGTCTGCACTTCACAGTGGAACAGTTCCTCATCCAGTCCACAGGAGGCGTCATTTAGCTTCTGCAGATGTCCAGGTGCAGTCTTCACCTGATTTCATTACCCACAAGTCACTGCAATGTGGACATGATGTTGTAGTTCTTCCACTGACTGAAAATAAAGACTATCTCCATGACAGCTCCCTAAAGTGAAGCCAAACAATCTCAATGGCTTCATTTCTGAACAACAGGAAGAAGTGGAGACGTGTCATCCATCTTTATTTAAAGTCTACGTTTGAATTAAATTAGTAACATTACTGGAAATTATTGGTCCGAATATTATCCAACCACATCATGACACAGAATGTTGACCAACAGCTGTTGGGGTCAAAGGTCATTAAAATGTAATTTGTTAGTGAAGTGGACAAAAATACATCAGATACAAAATGGCTGCAAAACCAGAAAAGGGGATGATTATTAACAAGAGTTACTCGTTACTCCAAACGTTTCCACGGCAACGAGTCAAACCGACGTCAGGCCCGTCACGTCGAACACGTCACGAAACAGACAAATGAAGTGTGTGGGTGATCAGTCCAGAGGGTGGACATTTGGATTCAGCCTCAACTTCAGTCAAACTACTTCCTGTTTCCCAAATTCCCCCCCCCTCCTACTTCCTGTCAGCTGATTCTCTGTGTCACCTGGACAGGTGGAATCTGTTGTCGGGGTTCAGTCAGTTGGTCAATAACGTTGCAGCCAATGTGTCCGAAGTTCTGCTGGTTAAAAGTCCAACTGACGACGAGTCGCAGACGTGAGTAGAAAAAACAGAAACCGATCAGAAGTCTGGTTCACACCTCTGCACAGTTTCCTTCATGTTCACACGGAGGCTGTTGGACGATCAGAACCTCGAGGATCCAGGTCGAGATCAGGTGACACGAAGCTGCAGTCAGAAAGAAACAGGAAGTCACAGAAACGTTCACATCCTCTTCCTGTGTCTTTGCAGTAAAATGTTCTGTAATCAGTTTTTATTTAAACAGAATGTTTGGAGGCAACAGACTCTTGTTGGAGTGACGTAATCTGCAAAGCAAAGATCACGTGACCAATGGAGGGAGAGTCCGCAGATAAACATCTTTAGCTCGGTGTTCATCCCTGACTTCAAAATATCGACAAGTCAACTTTGAAAACCACACCTTCAAACTTGCCATGCTAGTTCAGCTAATGCTACATGTCACATACTTCAAAAGTCTCCTAAACGAACTGCCACCTTTAACCTCTGCCCACACAGGAAGTTACATCAGCAGTTCGAGATGTACAAGGACCAGGTGAAGAAGCTGGGGGAGGAGCCTCAGGCCGCTCAGACAGCGAGGGCGGAGTCTCCGACCTGTGGCATCTGTCGCAAAACGAAGTTCGCCGATGGTTGCGGCCGAGCGTGCTGCTACTGTCAGAGCCGCTTCTGTGCCCGCTGCGGGGGGCGGGTTCCTCTCAGAGCCAATAAGGTAAATGACACTAATGTTTAAACTGAACCAAACATCAGGAAAAACTTATTAATGAGGGTTGGATAAAAGTATCACAGATCTGAGATGAATTAATGTCAAGGTTTTATGATTCACTAGAAAATATTAAAGGTGCTATGTGTCCTTTTTTGCCAGTGCTACATGCCTGATGTTAGCAATAGCATGAGATCAGAAATGTTATTCTAAGTGTCAAAGTGGATGAGTCAAACTCAGACTCAGCTTCACATTAACTCGATTATGATTATAATAATAAACCTGAGCTTGTTTCTGACAAACTGTGTTGACGAGTTAATCTATGAAAAACCTGGTCACATGCTCATTTGGACACGGGACTTAAAAACCTGTCCTGATCACGATGAAGTGAAGTTTCCATTTTAATTAGTGTTTAATGACATCATTAAAAAGTGGTTGTAGTAGTTACTGTGTCTGAACACTGGGTGGTGCCACATATGTAGAAACATCCCAGCAGCTCCTTCAACACTTAGTTTAAAAGGATCGTTTTTAGCCTAATTGTCTCCGATGTCCTCTGGTGCCACGTTCACACAAGCTCTCGCCCAAGGGCGCGCGGTAGCATTGCTACGTCCGGTGGAGGACTTTTAGACTGAAACATAATTTATTGAGTCTGTTCAGTTTTGTAGAAAATTCAGTTGCAGCTCGTTGAATAAACGATCTTGTTTCTGTCGTGTTTCAGGTGATGTGGGTTTGTAACGTGTGCAGGAGGAAGCAGGAGATTCTCACTCAGTCGGGCGAGTTTCATTCCAACTCAACATCGCTGTCTGTCAACCACACGTCACAGGGGGTTCCACACCCACCAATGCAGGGGTCGCCGGGGGGCACAAGACCCCTGAGCAACGGAGCCACAGAGCGGTCAGTTTCAAAGTTATTTGTTTTGATTTGTTTTTCTGGATCTTCTCCTGCAGCCTCTAGTAAAACATCTGGAACATGTCAGAGTGAGTCCATGAGAGAAAACATCTGGAASCTTCTCAGTGAGCGAGTGGGCGTGTCTCTGAGGTTTCTAACACGTGACGGACGTGAAACTGAAGAACACAAATGTCTCAGGATGAAGAAGAGGAGCCGTACAAGTAGAAGACGAAGACGTCCACTTGGAAAGACGAGGAGGTTCCAGATGTTTTGGTGATGAGGGCCGACGCCGTGTGGACGAGCTGTAAACAACAACACTGATCTTTACACAGTTTAGACG